GTTCTAATTGTGAACAAGTGAGTCAGATGAAACACGTGTAAACAGTGCTCATATACTGTTTGTTCGTCAGTTGAGCACTCATATTCTATATTGAATCATTTGATCGGCAACAAATAAATGAATGTACTATTGGTCAGATAACTGAATTGCACAGTTCACTTCGAAAAGTTTGCTAGATAACATACGTTTGATTTGTGTTTTTTGTTTTTGTTTTGTTGTTCCTGATCATCAAATCATTCGAGTACTTAGATCTATCTGATGGGAACATTTGAGAGACTAATTTTCAGTGCCCAAAATTCGTGTGTCATTTTCAATTCGAATGTCCAACCACATGGTGTTTATCTGCGTTAGCAAATAAGTGCCGATAAGGAGAAATGAAATAGGAATCCGTTCGTCTATTGCACAGTGGAATTGCCAAATGCAAATTGCTTGTTGTGGCAAACAGACGAATCGAATTGGTACGAGCAGCAGAAGCAGCGTAATCCTTCTTGTTCCACACGATCCGTAAAGTGAATCATGAAGAATAAATGAACAAGACCAAAGTGCAACATGATCAATCACAGCTCACCTCTGTCTCCTTCTGACTCTTGCTTGGAATCTACAATCAAGAAAGATGAGAAACGATTAATGTACACTGATTGAGGTATCCAATCGAATGAGAACAATCATACAATAATACCGTTTGTATTTGAGTGGACTGAGAGTATTTAATAAAATGACACAGATTCGGTTGACGCTTGTCGACTGCCACAGTTGAATTTTGAAAACAATTGTGCCCAAATGCGACCAGATGGGGAAAGTGGACAATTCAGTATGTTTTGTTCGTTTGTTTGTTCCATTTTGAAACAGGTGTGGCTTTAGCGCTTTCTCATTTTCTGTAGCTCGTTTCGAAATATGTTCAAGTCAAATGAGCACAAATCGGTTTCATGTGGACCGCTGTGAGCAATCAGCAGTCCATATTTATCCATTCTCAATTGGGACTGGAAAATCAATCACATGGATCATTATGAGTTGTTGTTCATTCATGATTCGTTCACGTGGAACAGGCCCATCAGACTGACAATCGTTCAATTCGTGTTCCGATGCAAGTTAGAAGTCGGTCAATATGCACTTGTTCTAATTGTGAACAAGTGAGTCAGATGAAACACGTGTAAACAGTGCTCATATACTGTTTGTTCGTCAGTTGAGCACTCATATTCTATATTGAATCATTTGATCGGCAACAAATAAATGAATGTACTATTGGTCAGATAACTGAATTGCACAGTTCACTTCGAAAAGTTTGCTAGATAACATACGTTTGATTTGTGTTTTTGTTTTTGTTTTGTTGTTCCTGATCATCAAATCATTCGAGTACTTAGATCTATCTGATGGGAACATTTGAGAGGCTAATTTTCAGTGCCCAAAATTCGTGTGTCATTTTCAATTCGAATGTCCAACCACATGGTGTTTATCTGCGTTAGCAAATAAGTGCCGATAAGGAGAAATGAAATGGGAATCCGTTCGTCTATTGCACAGTGGAATTGCCAAATGCAAATTGCTTGTTGTGGCAAACAGACGAATCGAATTGGTACGAGCAACAGAAGCAGCGTAATCCTTCTTGTTCCACACGATCCGTAAAGTGAATCATGAAGAATAAATGAACAAGACCAAAGTGCAACATGATCAATCACAGCTCACCTCTGTCTCCTTCTGACTCTTGCTTGGAATCTACAATCAAGAAAGATGAGAAACGATTAATGTACACTGATTGAGGTATCCAATCGAATGAGAACAATCATACAATAATACCGTTTGTATTTGAGTGGACTGAGAGTATTTAATAAAATGACACAGATTCGGTTGACGCTTGTCGACTGCCACAGTTGAATTTTGAAAACAATTGTGCCCAAATGCGACCAGATGGGGAAAGTGGACAGTTCAGTATGTTTTGTTCGTTTGTTTGTTCCATTTTGAAACAGGTGTGGCTTTAGCGCTTTCTCATTTTCTGTAGCTCGTTTTGAAATATGTTCAAGTCAAATGAGCACAAATCGGTTTCATGTGGACCGCTGTGAGCAATCAGCAGTCCATATTTATCCATTCTCAATTGGGACTGGAAAATCAATCACATGGATCATTATGAGTTGTTGTTCATTCATGATTCGTTCACGTGGAACAGGCCCATCAGACTGACAATCGTTCAATTCGTGTTCCGATGCAAGTTGGAAGTCGGTCAATATGCACTTGTTCTAATTGTGAACAAGTGAGTCAGATGAAACACGTGTAAACAGTGCTCATATACTGTTTGTTCGTCAGTTGAGCACTCATATTGAATCATTTGATCGGCAACAAATAAATGAATGTACTATTGGTCAGATAACTGAATTGCACAGTTCACTTCGAATAGTTTGCTAGATAACATACGTTTGATTTGTGTTTTTTTTTTGTTTTGTTGTTCCTGATCATCAAATCATTCGAGTACTTAGATCTATCTGATGGGAACATTTGAGAGACTAATTTTCAGTGCCCAAAATTCGTGTGTCAATTTCAATTCGAATGTCCAACCACATGGTGTTTATCTGCGTTAGCAAATAAGTGCCGATAAGGAGAAATGAAATGGGAATCCGTTCGTCTATTGCACAGTGGAATTGCCAAATGCAAATTGCTTGTTGTGGCAAACAGACGAATCGAATTGGTACGAGCAACAGAAGCAGCGTAATCCTTCTTGTTCCACACGATCCGTGAAGTGAATCATGAAGAATAAATGAACAAGACCAAAGTGCAACATGATCAATCACAGCTCACCTCTGTCTCCTTCTGACTCTTGCTTGGAATCTACAATCAAGAAAGATGAGAAACGATTAATGTACACTGATTGAGGTATCCAATCGAATGAGAACAATCATACAATAATACCGTTTGTATTTGAGTGGACTGAGAGTATTTAATAAAATGACACAGATTCGGTTGACGCTTGTCGACTGCCACAGTTGAATTTTGAAAACAATTGTGCCCAAATGCGACCAGATGGGGAAAGTGGACAATTCAGTATGTTTTGTTCGTTTGTTTGTTCCATTTTGAAACAGGTGTGGCTTTAGCGCTTTCTCATTTTCTGTAGCTCGTTTCGAAATATGTTCAAGTCAAATGAGCACAAATCGGTTTCATGTGGACCGTTGTGAGCAATCAGCAGTCCATATTTATCCATTCTCAATTGGGACTGGAAAATCAATCACATGGATCATTATGAGTTGTTGTTCATTCATGATTCGTTCACGTGGAACAGGCCCATCAGACTGACAATCGTTCAATTCGTGTTCCGATGCAAGTTAGAAGTCGGTCAATATGCACTTGTTCTAATTGTGAACAAGTGAGTCAGATGAAACACGTGTAAACAGTGCTCATATACTGTTTGTTCGTCAGTTGAGCACTCATATTGAATCATTTGATCGGCAACAAATAAATGAATGTACTATTGGTCAGATAACTGAATTGCACAGTTCACTTCGAATAGTTTGCTAGATAACATACGTTTGATTTGTGTTTTTTTTTTGTTTTGTTGTTCCTGATCATCAAATCATTCGAGTACTTAGATCTATCTGATGGGAACATTTGAGAGACTAATTTTCAGTGCCCAAAATTCGTGTGTCAATTTCAATTCGAATGTCCAACCACATGGTGTTTATCTGCGTTAGCAAATAAGTGCCGATAAGGAGAAATGAAATGGGAATCCGTTCGTCTATTGCACAGTGGAATTGCCAAATGCAAATTGCTTGTTGTGGCAAACAGACGAATCGAATTGGTACGAGCAACAGAAGCAGCGTAATCCTTCTTGTTCCACACGATCCGTGAAGTGAATCATGAAGAATAAATGAACAAGACCAAAGTGCAACATGATCAATCACAGCTCACCTCTGTCTCCTTCTGACTCTTGCTTGGAATCTACAATCAAGAAAGATGAGAAACGATTAATGTACACTGATTGAGGTATCCAATCGAATGAGAACAATCATACAATAATACCGTTTGTATTTGAGTGGACTGAGAGTATTTAATAAAATGACACAGATTCGGTTGACGCTTGTCGACTGCCACAGTTGAATTTTGAAAACAATTGTGCCCAAATGCGACCAGATGGGGAAAGTGGACAATTCAGTATGTTTTGTTCGTTTGTTTGTTCCATTTTGAAACAGGTGTGGCTTTAGCGCTTTCTCATTTTCTGTAGCTCGTTTCGAAATATGTTCAAGTCAAATGAGCACAAATCGGTTTCATGTGGACCGTTGTGAGCAATCAGCAGTCCATATTTATCCATTCTCAATTGGGACTGGAAAATCAATCACATGGATCATTATGAGTTGTTGTTCATTCATGATTCGTTCACGTGGAACAGGCCCATCAGACTGACAATCGTTCAATTCGTGTTCCGATGCAAGTTAGAAGTCGGTCAATATGCACTTGTTCTAATTGTGAACAAGTGAGTCAGATGAAACACGTGTAAACAGTGCTCATATACTGTTTGTTCGTCAGTTGAGCACTCATATTCTATATTGAATCATTTGATCGGCAACAAATAAATGAATGTACTATTGGTCAGATAACTGAATTGCACAGTTCACTTCGAAAAGTTTGCTAGATAACATACGTTTGATTTGTGTTTTTGTTTTTGTTTTGTTGTTCCTGATCATCAAATCATTCGAGTACTTAGATCTATCTGATGGGAACATTTGAGAGGCTAATTTTCAGTGCCCAAAATTCGTGTGTCATTTTCAATTCGAATGTCCAACCACATGGTGTTTATCTGCGTTAGCAAATAAGTGCCGATAAGGAGAAATGAAATAGGAATCCGTTCGTCTATTGCACAGTGGAATTGCCAAATGCAAATTGCTTGTTGTGGCAAACAGACGAATCGAATTGGTACGAGCAGCAGAAGCAGCGTAATCCTTCTTGTTCCACACGATCCGTAAAGTGAATCATGAAGAATAAATGAACAAGACCAAAGTGCAACATGATCAATCACAGCTCACCTCTGTCTTCTTCTGACTCTTGCTTAGAATCTACAATCAAGAAAGATGAGAAAACGAACAATGTACACTGATTGAGGTATCCAATCGAATGAGAACAATCATACAATAATACCGTTTGTATTTGAGTGGACTGAGAGTATTTAATAAAATGACACAGATTCGGTTGACGCTTGTCGACTGCCACAGTTGAATTTTGAAAACAATTGTGCCCAAATGCGACCAGATGGGGAAAGTGGACAATTCAGTATGTTTTGTTCGTTTGTTTGTTCCATTTTGAAACAGGTGTGGCTTTAGCGCTTTCTCATTTTCTGTTGCTCGTTTCGAAATATGTTCAAGTCAAATGAGCACAAATCGGTTTCATGTGGACCGTTGTGAGCAATCAGCAGTCCATATTTATCCATTCTCAATTGGGACTGGAAAATCAATCACATGGATCATTATGAGTTGTTGTTCATTCATGATTCGTTCACGTGGAACAGGCCCATCAGACTGACAATCGTTCAATTCGTGTTCCGATGCAAGTTAGAAGTCGGTCAATATGCACTTGTTCTAATTGTGAACAAGTGAGTCAGATGAAACACGTGTAAACAGTGCTCATATACTGTTTGTTCGTCAGTTGAGCACTCATATTCTATATTGAATCATTTGATCGGCAACAAATAAATGAATGTACTATTGGTCAGATAACTGAATTGCACAGTTCACTTCGAAAAGTTTGCTAGATAACATACGTTTGATTTGTGTTTTTGTTTTTGTTTTGTTGTTCCTGATCATCAAATCATTCGAGTACTTAGATCTATCTGATGGGAACATTTGAGAGACTAATTTTCAGTGCCCAAAATTCGTGTGTCAATTTCAATTCCAATGTCCAACCACATGGTGTTTATCTGCGTTAGCAAATAAGTGCCGATAAGGAGAAATGAAATGGGAATCCGTTCGTCTATTGCACAGTGGAATTGCCAAATGCAAATTGCTTGTTGTGGCAAACAGACGAATCGAATTGGTACGAGCAACAGAAGCAGCGTAATCCTTCTTGTTCCACACGATCCGTGAAGTGAATCATGAAGAATAAATGAACAAGACCAAAGTGCAACATGATCAATCACAGCTCACCTCTGTCTCCTTCTGACTCTTGCTTAGAATCTACAATCAAGAAAGATGAGAAACGATTAATGTACACTGATTGAGGTATCCAATCGAATGAGAACAATCATACAATAATACCGTTTGTATTTGAGTGGACTGAGAGTATTTAATAAAATGACACAGATTCGGTTGACGCTTGTCGACTGCCACAGTTGAATTTTGAAAACAATTGTGCCCAAATGCGACGAGATGGGGAAAGTGGACAGTTCAGTATGTTTTGTTCGTTTGTTTGTTCCATTTTGAAACAGGTGTGGCTTTAGCGCTTTCTCATTTTTTGTTGCTCGTTTCGAAATATGTTCAAGTCAAATGAGTACAAATCGGTTTCATGTGGACCGTTGTGAGCAATCAGCAGTCCATATTTATCCATTCTCAATTGGGACTGGAAAATCAATCACATGGATCATTATGAGTTGTTGTTCATTCATGATTCGTTCACGTGGAACAGGCCCATCAGACTGACAATCGTTCAATTCGTGTTCCGATGCAAGTTAGAAGTCGGTCAATATGCACTTGTTCTAATTGTGAACAAGTGAGTCAGATGAAACACGTGTAAACAGTGCTCATATACTGTTTGTTCGTCAGTTGAGCACTCATATTCTATATTGAATCATTTGATCGGCAACAAATAAATGAATGTACTATTGGTCAGATAACTGAATTGCACAGTTCACTTCGAAATGTTTGCTAGATAACATACGTTTGATTTGTGTTTTTTGTTTTTGTTTTGTTGTTCCTGATCATCAAATCATTCGAGTACTTAGATCTATCTGATGGGAACATTTGAGAGGCTAATTTTCAGTGCCCAAAATTCGTGTGTCAATTTCAATTCGAATGTCCAACCACATGGTGTTTATCTGCGTTAGCAAATAAGTGACGATAAGGAGAAATGAAATGGGAATCCGTTCGTCTATTGCACAGTGGAATTGCCAAATGCAAATTGCTTGTTGTGGCAAACAGACGAATCGAATTGGTACGAGCAACAGAAGCAGCGTAATCCTTCTTGTTCCACACGATCCGTGAAGTGAATCATGAAGAATAAATGAACAAGACCAAAGTGCAACATGATCAATCACAGCTCACCTCTGTCTCCTTCTGACTCTTGCTTAGAATCTACAATCAAGAAAGATGAGAAACGATTAATGTACACTGATTGAGGTATCCAATCGAATGAGAACAATCATACAATAATACCGTTTGTATTTGAGTGGACTGAGAGTATTTAATAAAATGACACAGATTCGGTTGACGCTTGTCGACTGCCACAGTTGAATTTTGAAAACAATTGTGCCCAAATGCGACCAGATGGGGAAAGTGGACAGTTCAGTATGTTTTGTTCGTTTGTTTGTTCCATTTTGAAACAGGTGTGGCTTTAGCGCTTTCTCATTTTCTGTAGCTCGTTTTGAAATATGTTCAAGTCAAATGAGCACAAATCGGTTTCATGTGGACCGTTGTGAGCAATCAGCAGTCCATATTTATCCATTCTCAATTGGGACTGGAAAATCAATCACATGGATCATTATGAGTTGTTGTTCATTCATGATTCGTTCACGTGGAACAGGCCCATCAGACTGACAATCGTTCAATTCGTGTTCCGATGCAAGTTAGAAGTCGGTCAATATGCACTTGTTCTAATTGTGAACAAGTGAGTCAGATGAAACACGTGTAAACAGTGCTCATATACTGTTTGTTCGTCAGTTGAGCACTCATATTCTATATTGAATCATTTGATCGGCAACAAATAAATGAATGTACTATTGGTCAGATAACTGAATTGCACAGTTCACTTCGAATAGTTTGCTAGATAACATACGTTTGATTTGTGTTTTTTGTTTTTGTTTTGTTGTTCCTGATCATCAAATCATTCGAGTACTTAGATCTATCTGATGGGAACATTTGAGAGGCTAATTTTCAGTGCCCAAAATTCGTGTGTCAATTTCAATTTGTATGTTCAACCACATGGTGTTTATCTGCGTTAGCAAATAAGTGCCGATAAGGAGAAATGAAATGGGAATCCGTTCGTCTATTGCACAGTGGAATTGCCAAATGCAAATTGCTTGTTGTGGCAAACAGACGAATCGAATTGGTACGAGCAACAGAAGCAGCGTAATCCTTCTTGTTCCACACGATCCGTGAAGTGAATCATGAAGAATAAATGAACAAGACCAAAGTGCAACATGATCAATCACAGCTCACCTCTGTCTCCTTCTGACTCTTGCTTGGAATCTACAATCAAGAAAGATGAGAAACGATTAATGTACACTGATTGAGGTTTCCAATCGAATGAGAACAATCATACAATAATACCGTTTGTATTTGAGTGGACTGAGAGTATTTAATAAAATGACACAGATTCGGTTGACGCTTGTCGACTGCCACAGTTGAATTTTGAAAACAATTGTGCCCAAATGCGACCAGATGGGGAAAGTGGACAATTCAGTATGTTTTGTTCGTTTGTTTGTTCCATTTTGAAACAGGTGTGGCTTTAGCGCTTTCTCATTTTTTGTTGCTCGTTTTGAAATATGTTCAAGTCAAATGAGCACAAATCGGTTTCATGTGGACCGCTGTGAGCAATCAGCAGTCCATATTTATCCATTCTCAATTGGGACTGGAAAATCAATCACATGGATCATTATGAGTTGTTGTTCATTCATGATTCGTTCACGTGGAACAGGCCCATCAGACTGAAAATCGTTCAATTCGTGTTCCGATGCAAGTTAGAAGTCGGTCAATATGCACTTGTTCTAATTGTGAACAAGTGAGTCAGATGAAACACGTGTAAACAGTGCTCATATACTGTTTGTTCGTCAGTTGAGCACTCATATTCTATATTGAATCATTTGATCGGCAACAAATAAATGAATGTACTATTGGTCAGATAACTGAATTGCACAGTTCACTTCGAATAGTTTGCTAGATAACATACGTTTGATTTGTGTTTTTGTTTTTGTTTTGTTGTTCCTGATCATCAAATCATTCGAGTACTTAGATCTATCTGATGGGAACATTTGAGAGACTAATTTTCAGTGCCCAAAATTCGTGTGTCATTTTCAATTCGAATGTCCAACCACATGGTGTTTATCTGCGTTAGCAAATAAGTGCCGATAAGGAGAAATGAAATGGGAATCCGTTCGTCTATTGCACAGTGGAATTGCCAAATGCAAATTGCTTGTTGTGGCAAACAGACGAATCGAATTGGTACGAGCAACAGAAGCAGCGTAATCCTTCTTGTTCCACACGATCCGTGAAGTGAATCATGAAGAATAAATGAACAAGACCAAAGTGCAACATGATCAATCACAGCTCACCTCTGTCTCCTTCTGACTCTTGCTTGGAATCTACAATCAAGAAAGATGAGAAACGATTAATGTACACTGATTGAGGTATCCAATCGAATGAGAACAATCATACAATAATACCGTTTGTATTTGAGTGGACTGAGAGTATTTATTAAAATGACACAGATTCGGTTGACGCTTGTCGACTGCCACAGTTGAATTTTGAAAACAATTGTGCCCAAATGCGACCAGATGGGGAAAGTGGACAGTTCAGTATGTTTTGTTCGTTTGTTTGTTCCATTTTGAAACAGGTGTGGCTTTAGCGCTTTCTCATTTTCTGTAGCTCGTTTTGAAATATGTTCAAGTCAAATGAGCACAAATCGGTTTCATGTGGACCGTTGTGAGCAATCAGCAGTCCATATTTATCCATTCTCAATTGGGACTGGAAAATCAATCACATGGATCATTATGAGTTGTTGTTCATTCATGATTCGTTCACGTGGAACAGGCCCATCAGACTGACAATCGTTCAATTCGTGTTCCGATGCAAGTTGGAAGTCGGTCAATATGCACTTGTTCTAATTGTGAACAAGTGAGTCAGATGAAACACGTGTAAACAGTGCTCATATACTGTTTGTTCGTCAGTTGAGCACTCATATTGAATCATTTGATCGGCAACAAATAAATGAATGTACTATTGGTCAGATAACTGAATTGCACAGTTCACTTCGAATAGTTTGCTAGATAACATACGTTTGATTTGTGTTTTTTTTTTGTTTTGTTGTTCCTGATCATCAAATCATTCGAGTACTTAGATCTATCTGATGGGAACATTTGAGAGACTAATTTTCAGTGCCCAAAATTCGTGTGTCAATTTCAATTCGAATGTCCAACCACATGGTGTTTATCTGCGTTAGCAAATAAGTGCCGATAAGGAGAAATGAAATGGGAATCCGTTCGTCTATTGCACAGTGGAATTGCCAAATGCAAATTGCTTGTTGTGGCAAACAGACGAATCGAATTGGTACGAGCAACAGAAGCAGCGTAATCCTTCTTGTTCCACACGATCCGTGAAGTGAATCATGAAGAATAAATGAACAAGACCAAAGTGCAACATGATCAATCACAGCTCACCTCTGTCTCCTTCTGACTCTTGCTTGGAATCTACAATCAAGAAAGATGAGAAACGATTAATGTACACTGATTGAGGTATCCAATCGAATGAGAACAATCATACAATAATACCGTTTGTATTTGAGTGGACTGAGAGTATTTAATAAAATGACACAGATTCGGTTGACGCTTGTCGACTGCCACAGTTGAATTTTGAAAACAATTGTGCCCAAATGCGACCAGATGGGGAAAGTGGACAATTCAGTATGTTTTGTTCGTTTGTTTGTTCCATTTTGAAACAGGTGTGGCTTTAGCGCTTTCTCATTTTCTGTAGCTCGTTTCGAAATATGTTCAAGTCAAATGAGCACAAATCGGTTTCATGTGGACCGTTGTGAGCAATCAGCAGTCCATATTTATCCATTCTCAATTGGGACTGGAAAATCAATCACATGGATCATTATGAGTTGTTGTTCATTCATGATTCGTTCACGTGGAACAGGCCCATCAGACTGACAATCGTTCAATTCGTGTTCCGATGCAAGTTAGAAGTCGGTCAATATGCACTTGTTCTAATTGTGAACAAGTGAGTCAGATGAAACACGTGTAAACAGTGCTCATATACTGTTTGTTCGTCAGTTGAGCACTCATATTCTATATTGAATCATTTGATCGGCAACAAATAAATGAATGTACTATTGGTCAGATAACTGAATTGCACAGTTCACTTCGAAAAGTTTGCTAGATAACATACGTTTGATTTGTGTTTTTTTTTTGTTTTGTTGTTCCTGATCATCAAATCATTCGAGTACTTAGATCTATCTGATGGGAACATTTGAGAGGCTAATTTTCAGTGCCCAAAATTCGTGTGTCATTTTCAATTCGAATGTCCAACCACATGGTGTTTATCTGCGTTAGCAAATAAGTGCCGATAAGGAGAAATGAAATGGGAATCCGTTCGTCTATTGCACAGTGGAATTGCCAAATGCAAATTGCTTGTTGTGGCAAACAGACGAATCGAATTGGTACGAGCAGCAGAAGCAGCGTAATCCTTCTTGTTCCACACGATCCGTAAAGTGAATCATGAAGAATAAATGAACAAGACCAAAGTGCAACATGATCAATCACAGCTCACCTCTGTCTTCTTCTGACTCTTGCTTAGAATCTACAATCAAGAAAGATGAGAAAACGAACAATGTACACTGATTGAGGTATCCAATCGAATGAGAACAATCATACAATAATACCGTTTGTATTTGAGTGGACTGAGAGTATTTAATAAAATGACACAGATTCGGTTGACGCTTGTCGACTGCCACAGTTGAATTTTGAAAACAATTGTGCCCAAATGCGACCAGATGGGGAAAGTGGACAATTCAGTATGTTTTGTTCGTTTGTTTGTTCCATTTTGAAACAGGTGTGGCTTTAGCGCTTTCTCATTTTCTGTAGCTCGTTTCGAAATATGTTCAAGTCAAATGAGCACAAATCGGTTTCATGTGGACCGTTGTGAGCAATCAGCAGTCCATATTTATCCATTCTCAATTGGGACTGGAAAATCAATCACATGGATCATTATGAGTTGTTGTTCATTCATGATTCGTTCACGTGGAACAGGCCCATCAGACTGACAATCGTTCAATTCGTGTTCCGATGCAAGTTAGAAGTCGGTCAATATGCACTTGTTCTAATTGTGAACAAGTGAGTCAGATGAAACACGTGTAAACAGTGCTCATATACTGTTTGTTCGTCAGTTGAGCACTCATATTCTATATTGAATCATTTGATCGGCAACAAATAAATGAATGTACTATTGGTCAGATAACTGAATTGCACAGTTCACTTCGAAAAGTTTGCTAGATAACATACGTTTGATTTGTGTTTTTGTTTTTGTTTTGTTGTTCCTGATCATCAAATCATTCGAGTACTTAGATCTATCTGATGGGAACATTTGAGAGACTAATTTTCAGTGCCCAAAATTCGTGTGTCATTTTCAATTCGAATGTCCAACCACATGGTGTTTATCTGCGTTAGCAAATAAGTGCCGATAAGGAGAAATGAAATGGGAATCCGTTCGTCTATTGCACAGTGGAATTGCCAAATGCAAATTGCTTGTTGTGGCAAACAGACGAATCGAATTGGTACGAGCAGCAGAAGCAGCGTAATCCTTCTTGTTCCACACGATCCGTAAAGTGAATCATGAAGAATAAATGAACAAGACCAAAGTGCAACATGATCAATCACAGCTCACCTCTGTCTTCTTCTGACTCTTGCTTAGAATCTACAATCAAGAAAGATGAGAAAACGAACAATGTACACTGATTGAGGTATCCAATCGAATGAGAACAATCATACAATAATACCGTTTGTATTTGAGTGGACTGAGAGTATTTAATAAAATGACACAGATTCGGTTGACGCTTGTCGACTGCCACAGTTGAATTTTGAAAACAATTGTGCCCAAATGCGACCAGATGGGGAAAGTGGACAATTCAGTATGTTTTGTTCGTTTGTTTGTTCCATTTTGAAACAGGTGTGGCTTTAGCGCTTTCTCATTTTCTGTAGCTCGTTTCGAAATATGTTCAAGTCAAATGAGTACAAATCGGTTTCATGTGGACCGTTGTGAGCAATCAGCAGTCCATATTTATCCATTCTCAATTGGGACTGGAAAATCAATCACATGGATCATTATGAGTTGTTGTTCATTCATGATTCGTTCACGTGGAACAGGCCCATCAGACTGACAATCGTTCAATTCGTGTTCCGATGCAAGTTAGAAGTCGGTCAATATGCACTTGTTCTAATTGTGAACAAGTGAGTCAGATGAAACACGTGTAAACAGTGCTCATATACTGTTTGTTCGTCAGTTGAGCACTCATATTCTATATTGAATCATTTGATCGGCAACAAATAAATGATTGTACTATTGGTCAGATAACTGAATTGCACAGTTCACTTCGAATAGTTTGCTAGATAACATACGTTTGATTTGTGTTTTTGTTTTTGTTTTGTTGTTCCTGATCATCGAATCATTCGAGTACTTAGATCTATCTGATGGGAACATTTGAGAGGCTAATTTTCAGTGCCCAAAATTCGTGTGTCATTTTCATTTCGAATGTCCAACCACATGGTGTTTATCTGCGTTAGCAAATAAGTGCCGATAAGGAGAAATGAAATAGGAATCCGTTCGTCTATTGCACAGTGGAATTGCCAAATGCAAATTGCTTGTTGTGGCAAACAGACGAATCGAATTGGTACGAGCAACAGAAGCAGCGTAATCCTTCTTGTTCCACACCATCCGTGAAGTGAATCATGAAGAATAAATGAACAAGATCAAAGTGCAACATGATCAATCACAACTCACCTCTGTCTCCTTTTGACTCTCGCTCTGTATCTACAATCGAGAATGAGACATATATTACATTGCACACTTTTTTATCCCTAGCAAGCTATTTTTCTCTATTTGAGTTGCATTTTTGTTTTTTATCTCTGTTTTATTCGTCGCTGCATTTTTTGTTCGCCTTTTTTCTTTTTGTATTTTCATTTTGCGAATTCTTCCATTTCTCTTGCTTCTTTCCTTTTTCTTTCTTTCTTTGGATATGCACTTTATTATTTCTTTTCGGTGCCTTCAGTTTGTCCTTCCTTGTCACTTCCATTTTCCCTTTTGCTCGTGATTATCTGGGTTAGCCTATCTTTGTGGCTGTGGCAACCTATTCGGTTTATTGTTCATTTACCGCAAGCAGTTTAGTATTCAAATGCGAATAAAATTGCTACGGGAACGCACCATCCCTGAGGCGAATTTTGTGGGACAACTGAAGAACTCCAAACGGCAACATGATCAATAATACAGGTCACCTCCACTTTTTGGCTCGTAATCTACAACCGAGAGCGATTTTTTTCCAAACGCGGTGGACGTTTTTAATTTAAATCCTTTCTCCGCCGAATTTTCCAGGTTTTTGGGTTTTTTCTCGTCGCTTTCTAGTGCCCTAACTTTTTCCTCGTCATCGTGCACGTTTTTGGTGTTTGGATTTCTTCGGTTGAATTTCTTGCATGTGTCCTGTTTGGGAATCTTTTTTGGCAGATTCTTCCATACTGATTGATTGCGTAACTTACCCGTCGTATAACACTGTGCGTCAATTTAGTACACGAATGACATGTACATCCTTTTTGAGATATTGTTTCGAAATATTCTGCCCCTCCGAAGATCAGCACATGATGCTGTTACTTCGTTTGTCAATTACTCTCCTCTACGTTTTGATGAATTTTCACATTCTACGTATTGCCAACTGTCTCACGTCACCTTGAATAGATAGTTTATTTTATAATAATTTCATCGTGAAGGTTATCTCTAATATTTTAATTTTAATTATCCTGATGTCATCGAACTACGATTTCTGTTTTCCAGGAACTGACAAAAGCTTTAGAGATTTCGGGGTAACTGCAGGGAATAGCTTCGATTTCACGGTTAGAATGTTTTAAATCTGCTTGATAATATGTGAAATATATGTTGCGCCGTTTACTCATCAATTTAGGAAGAAAAAAATCTTCCTTTGGGTAATTTTGTAAATTCGCCTCCCATCACAACCTAGTACCACTGAGTGTAACGGGAGAAATTGATTGGCCGCAAACAACTAAACCCGAAATCTTCATAACTTTGCAGCGTCCTTTTAACTGAACCCGCGAACGTATCAAACCATTAAAAGTAACCCACTGATTAGGCATGGTACGGATGTAAATGAATAATAATGAATACACATTCTATTCCGTTTGCTAATGTGGGTCGTCAAGTACGCATAACCAACCTGAGTCTCACTCACCTGCCTGCTGTGAGCGCAGCACGCACAGTATCACAATCAAGAAAATGATGGATCTCATTTTGTTCGTCTTGTATTACGTCTTTGCGCTCTTTTATAGTGCACTCGCGTGTGGTTCTATTGGCTTAGAAAGGTTGTCATGTCAATCTCATGTTTGTCATATTAATCGTTCTTCGCTTTCTTTGATTGGCCGATTTGAAGACCCGATTCTAAATGGAACATATCCACCAATCAAGTTAATGTAAAATCATTGCCAATCTCCAGTTAATTTTCTGTTTTAGGATAGACGTTCAATCGAGGATCGATGGGTTCGATGGGACCACATGAAAGCAGATCTTCTCGGTATATTTGGAGGCAAAGGCAGTCCACTCTGTTTGATTCCACATAAGTTCTATTTTTGTACGTAAATGAGCTGCATGAGATATACAGGTGCAAAGTTGGCCCTCAAATGCTGTCTAGATACATGATGATGACGTGCACTTTCGTTTTTGATCCTCTCATGTTTACATTATTCTATTCAATGATCTGTTCGCTCTGACAAATTTTCCATTAGGAATAACTTTGAGACTGCTTATATGCACTCTTACCGAGCCCAGTTAAATTAAGGAAAATTTGAAGCATTGGGTCCCATTGGTTCGATTCACTAGGACAGAGAGAAATTATAAGTCGTGAGATGCAAGCAATTCTACGACCGAACAAAGGAGTAGGCATCGTAAATGGGGAAAAGAAAGAATACACGGAAAAGATGGAAAAGACGCTTTTTGATGCGCAACTTTTCAAACTGGACTCTACTCCAGTGAATAATATGCTGACCGAGAAACAGATATCAAGACAACTCCAAATTTTGCTCCTACACGGTTTCATTTCTGAAACTACATACAAGAAGCTAAAACCACTTGGAACACAGAGACCCTACCTGAGAGGATCACTCAAAGTGCAAAGGCCTCGTGTTCCTTTGAGGGTGATAGTATGCATGCGAAACTCAGCTCATCACAACCTTGCCCGGTGGCTCGTCGAGATTCTTACCCCCTTTTGGAAACACACAACACCATTTTGTCTACAGGACTCATTTGAACTCGAGATTTGGCTAAATATTATTTAAATGTGTTCGGAATTAATGTATCCCGTCGATGTTGAATCACTTTTCGCAAAGGCCCCTCTTCATGAAACAGTAGATTATCCGTGTGATTTTATTTCTTCGCACAACTTTCATTTGCCTAGTCCTCGTAAATGTTTTAATGATCTCATTCTTTTATGCACAAAAACATCCGGTTTATTTTGAAGGTAAAGCTTACAAATAAACTGGTGGTGTGGCCATTAGAAGCCATAGGGGCCCAACTTTGCCAGATGTATTTTTGGGTATGATCGAAAAACAGCTCTTCGATAATATTTCCCGATTTCTATTTCATAGACGATACGTGAACGATATTTTAATTCCTACGACTGAAGACAATTATATCCCATTCGCTAAATTTCCTAACGCTATTCATATGAACCTTAGTGTATCTGACGAAGAAGAATGCGACAACACGTTGTCCTTTCTAGATATTTACTTAACTAGGCGTCAAGATGGGATCCTATAGCGCAGAATCCATCGAAAGGCAACTTGGGGCGGACGTTATTCACGATTCTCCAGCTTCGCTCCGGTGGCTTACAAGCGTGGATGGGTCAGAACCCTCTTCAACAGGGCCCGGAAAGTCTGTACAGATCAAGCACAAAACAAAGCGGTGTTGATAAAAAGAACTCTGCTAGCCAAAGGTTAGCAGAAAATTTTTATCAAACTACATCAGCGGCCGAAACTGGTGCGCAACAAAACAATGAACGTCGGAAAGGAGCATGTTTTGCCATTTTGCATTTCTAAGCCGGCCATTTATTTTTTCATATAAACTGTAATTCCTAATCAGCTCCAAGGCACACACATGTACAGCTGCGAAAATGCGTTTGCTGTTGTCGACCAAGAGGTTATGTTTTCAAAATCACTCAAACGGTGTTTGCTTATCTCAGTATATCACATATTGTCTACCAGGTCACTTGCCATTGCGGTGACGTATACATTGGCAGGATGGATAGCTTCTTGACTTACGTACTGTAAAACTATCTATCGTGCCTATTTCACTGTTGCATTTACCCCCCTACTGTACCATGTATATATACACTGGCATGGTTTACGCTTGCTGTTGACAAGAGTAAACGAAATGCGAAATGAATTTATGGAATGTTCAGCATCCAGATTAACATTGTTCATGTTCAGATTCTAGGGCTTTATAACAGGACTAACGGATCCAGAGAAGTAAATTTTTCTTTACCTTCTTATTTTCCGTTACTGAATAGTGGTATTATTTATTTTGATAAACACACTTTGTCAGCAAACAGGAGTTTATTCGGGCAATCAAACAGTGAAAGTCCTCATTCCCATCAAATGAAATAAATATGTATATTTTGTTAATATTTAGTGGTACGGCAATGAACCACATACTTTGATGAGAGGAATGCACGACTCTCCGTTAGAACAGCTGTGGCAGCGACTCTGGTAAGCAGTAAGCAATATTAGGGGAATTATCAACAAAATAGGTAATTTATCCCTATCCCAATCTTAGAATTTACGCTGCCATGAAATGTAAACCAGGTTCTTATATCTCAGCTACATGGGAAAGCACTTCTTATTACCAAATTATGAAAGATGAAGAAACATTTCAGCTACATATATGGTTTTGTTTTTTTCCAACGGGTAGTTATGATGCCCAATGAAACGCTGAAACCTTACGGCATAAAAAAAAATTTACTGGTCAGGTTTGGCTTCAATAAACGATGAGAAGATTCCCGAGAGCAACCACGTCTGTTGGTTCCTTACCGTCAGACAAAAATAAGAAGACTGTTGTCCATGCGCATTAGATAAGCCAGTGAGAATGACGTTTTTTTGTTTGTTCGGGTTATCAAGATTGTTCGACGGAAAGAGACATTCAAATTCAACATTCTGGCTCCTGTTGGAACCAAAACAAACAAATAAAGCACTTGATTTGATGCGAATACATCAAAATATGTACGGGGGTCAGATTCTGATCGAGGGAGGTGTTCAAATTTAGAGAACAAAAATGAAACCCCAACATAATGTGTGTAGATATTATACACTAGCCCATATTTCTCTACACAAATATGCACAGGTTTCCGTTCGACTATAAGTGTTCATGTGTTTTCTATCATCTGTTACAAAGGACATTTAATCTTTCACCATAATTTCCTGGATGTGATCACTGAGTGTTCGAATTATTGTAGGCTGGATATACGGGCAATTGCGCATCACCTCCAGGCAAGCGCTGGGATTTCAAAGGATTCACCCTAATGAGTGAATTTCACCGGGGAAAGTTTCAGCCATAATAATGTTAAAAATTCGACACTACTTCATTCGTTCTTTTGTACCATGTTCTAATTTTCCATTCTGTATTCTGTTTAAAAGAATTACCTATTGGGACAACTTAATGGCCGGGCTGCCATTCACTCAGAGGTTCACATACAATCGGCAATTAAGATAAACAATCGAATTTGCCTACGGTCTCTGGTTATTGTCGAAAATCCCGTCTGCACCTTTACAGGAGACCAAATGCTGAAAGCTCCAAAATCGGGTTTCACAATGCAAACAGAAATCATTACCAACTGCAGCGATATCTTAAATACTAAGCTATGCAACGAAAGATACAATCGAACTGACCACAAAACGAACTCTAACACTGTCAAACTGGATCAGCTCTATCTAGAAATTAGCACACGAATAAACTGAGGCCCTTCAGAATTTGTATGTTTTTTCAATATTGATTGAATGGATACATACATGTTTTTATTTTTGGAATTTTATTGCTTTTTAGAACAAGCCGGATGGTGTCACTAAGTGTGAACGCCTGTGGAATGCGTATTTTATTTCTACTAGTGCGCCCAATGCTGAACCGTAGCCTGTGATACTGGTAGTTCTCTTCTCACTGGACGAGAACGCAGTTGTTTGTTGTACCGAACGAGGTTTGGCGTAATGGATCTTCTTTTTTCGAGCCGCTCGTTGAATAGAGAGTAAAACCAAGTGGGCGATAGAATGAAAGGTTAGGCATCGTTGAAATACCCATAGTCCACCCCTGGAGTTCACCCCATTAGGACAAATGTAAAAGAGAAAATCTTGGTCCCGGGACGTTGTGAGAATCCAGACTCACGTGAAAATGTTATTCTTTTTCCGCACACATTCCTCTACCATTTGTTATAACTGCTCTGATGTCACTAATACAAACAAACAAGCTGAAACCAATCATAAACTTTAGTGAAGAGCAAAATGTAACAGTTGACGGCCCAGTAGTAACCATTTTATTAACATTTGCAGAAGTATGCACGCTGGATGTGTGAGGTAAACGTTATTGCATCTATGGGAAAGCATAGTGCGATGCGTGTTTCTCTATGTCAGGCAAATTCGAAACCATCATGGTTGGAAGAATTCATCAACGAGTTAGAGACATATCCAGGATTTTGCGATTTCATACTGGATATTTCAGGAAGTATACGATTTCACAGAAGCACACTTTCTGCGTTTCCCAAACTCAATTTTGTACTATTTTCAATCCAGAAAAATACGGTGAACTTACCATTGTTGTAAACGGTCACAGAACAAGCACAGTTAGCAGATAATCCGTCGTATCAGTGTGTAAATAGGAAGTTTGGAATATGAGAAACCGCAGGCCGTGCGTGTAACTGGACCAAACCAAGTAACGCCATACGGTGCTTAACGAAACGCGATTAGAAAAATTCGGTTGAATTAGGTGCACGATATATGTACATGCGTGACCATAGACGATAAATGTGAAACAGCCGATTGTCATTCACAACATATTTAAGTCATCGTACGGAAAAATAATTTCGTTGACTAAAATCACCCTTGATTATATCAGCTGTTTTCCTGTGGCTCTTTGAAACGGAGTCTTATTAGAAATCAAATGAGATTAAGCCCACGATTCTGTACTGACGAAGGCTGATGACACGAGTCCGCGATCGGTTGATAAGAGACTTATTCTTCAGGGGAAAATACTACAA